CAATTTCTAAAAACTGACCCTTATGACTGGTTTTGTGCTCCAGGGTCACATATCAGTTTTAGTTATTTTAGTTCTTCAAGTTAAACTAAAAGAGAGAGTATTGATGCCTTGGCATCCACCTGAAATGAAGTAAATTGTTATTATTCCCTGCTTGTGTTCTTCCAGTAAGTGTCTGTTTGTAAGTGACGTGTTTGCCTCTGTCTGTGCTCAAGAGGACATCGAGGTGCGTTTCTTCCAGGACTCGTGGGAGAGCAAGGGCTCGTTCTCTCAGGCTGATGTTCACCGGCAGGTGGCTATCGTGTTGCGCACGCCTCCGTACCGCGACGCTAACCTGACGGAGCCGGTGCGTGTGAAGATGCAGCTGCGCAGGCCGTCTGACCGCGAGCTCAGCGAGCCGCTGGACTTCCAGTACCTGCCTGCAGACCCGGGTGAGACACACACCAGCCTCTCAACGCCTGCACGGTTCAGAGAAATATCACCGAATCACATGCATTCACTTCAGATGTCTGCGCTAGAGTTACTCTCACTTATTCACAACCTCAAAACTACATCATCTGCTTTAGAGCCTAGTCATTCGCACGCTGTTCTGACCTGCGCTTTCTCTGAGCAGTAAAGCCTGTCAAACAGCGCCTGATCACTGGACTAAGTTATCTTTAGCGCTAATACTGTTAAAACACACAAGGCTTACATATAGACTCAGTAGGTTATGTCTAAAATGAAAGTAAGCAGTTGAGAGAGAAACGGATGCGTGTCTGTATATTAGATGCGTGCAGCTCTTAAAGGGACAGCACTGAACATGCTGCCGACTGTCATTAAAGCGATAGTTCACCCTAAAATATAATTTCTGTCATTATTTACTCACTCTCATGTTGTCCCAATCCTGTGTTAATTTCGTTCTTGTGCCGAACACAAAAGAGGATATTTTGGAGAATGTGGGTAACCAAACAGCTGCTGGTCCACACTGAATTTAGGAAAAATACTGTGGAAGTCACTGGGGACCAGCAGCTGTTTGTACCAAAATATCCTCTTTTGTGTTCGGCACAAGAACAAAATTAAGAGAAATTGAGAGAGTAAATGGTAGTATAAAAATTATTTATACCATTCCTTTAATGTTAATAAAACAACAAAACCCAAAGAGAGAAATCGCTCACTACTCTTGACTGAAGAACGTTAATACAGTTGCTTTAGGAATCAGTCTATATAGTGTTTTATTTTATATTTGTTGATTGAGTTTCTTGAATGCTTCTGCTAAATACACCTGCTGTACCTGAGAATAAAGCACTGGTTGTTTTAGTGTAGTTGTAATGTGTATATTTGTTCTTATTTTTTAATAACGAAGATAAAATAATGACAAATATTTTTTTATCTTCGCCCACTTTGACCTAAATATCTGCCTTTTTTTTTTTTTAAATATTTTGTTACCTTGAAAGGCTTTGTCTTTATAACAGGGAAATTAGTTTGGCTGTACTGCTGGCAAACCAACATGACAAAGAATGGTGATGAAACCGTGAATCGTGATATTTCTGAAGAGTCGTGATCTGATATATTGTTTGTTCTGTGCAGATGAGCACCGACTGATGGAGAAGCGCAAGAGAACAGAGGGGATGCTGCAGAACCTCAAACTGAGCAGCATCATCACAGGTGTGTGTGTGTGTGAGAGAGAGAGAGAGTGTCTGTGAGTGTGTGTGTGTGAGAGAGAGAGTGTCTGTGAGTGTGTGTGTGTGTGAGAGAGAGAGAGAGTGTCTGTCAGTGTGTGTGTGAGAGAGAGAGAGTGTCTGTCAGTGTGTGTGTGTGTGAGAGAGTGAGAGTGTGTGTGAGTGTGAGGTGAGAGTGTGTGTGTGTGTGTGTGTGTGTGTACTGGTTTATATATCCTGGTGGGGACTTAAACCTGAATACACACAGACTCATGGGGACTCATGTCATGGTGGGGACCTAAATTGAGGTCCCCACGGGTAAACAAGCTAATAAATCATGTCCCCATAACGTGATGAATACACAACATGAGTGTGTGTGTGTGTGTGTGTGTGTGAGTGAGTGAGTGTGTCAGCTCAGCTTGCTACTGAACACACAGAGCTCTGGGTAATGATCAGTGTGTGTGTTTTATGTGCAGGATCCTCCATGCCTGCAGACAGACGGCTGTTTAGTACCGCTAAACGAACACTAGGCGTCTCTAAACCCACAGCAGCCAGCAGCCTCCCAGCAGGTGACCAGTTATCCAGATCTAAACTGATTAATGTGGATGATTAGGAGTTACAGAAATAGTTAAAAATGAGCATGTGCTGAAAATGTGTTCACCCTCAGTCCATCCGAGATCAGGATGAGTTTGTTTCTTCATCAGGTTTGTAGAAATGCACGGCACCCATTCACTGCAGAGCATCCATTGCTGAGACACTGATGCAGTGCTACATTTCTACAAACCTGATGAAGAAACAAACTCATCCTGATCTCGGATGAACTGAGGGTGAACACATTTTGTTTTTGGGGTGAACTATTCCTTTAACGTAATTTTTTTTTCTGTAAAGCTGGTTGTGAAAAGCACTACTAAGGAATTGGGTTATTTCCAACAGCATTTGTGGCATAATGTTGATGACACAGAAAATAATTTCCACCCGTCACCCAGTGTTAAGTCGCTGGGGTATATTTGTAGCAATAGCCAACAATACATCGTATGGGTCAAAATTATACATTTCTCTTTTATGCCAAAAATCATTAGGATATTAAGTAAAGATCATGTTCCATGAAGATATTTTGTAAATTACCTACCGTAAATATATCAAAACTTAATTTTTGATTAGTAATATGCATTGCTAAGAACTTCATTTGAACAACTTTAAAGATGATTTTCTCAATATTTAGATTTTTTTGCACCCTCAGATTCCAGATTTTCAAATAGTTGTATCTCGTGACTGGTGTAGTGCTGCAGCTGTAGCGTGTAAAGCGCGTCTCTCTCTGTGTGTCTCAGCGGCGTCTGCAGGTGTGTCCTCGTTCTTCACTCCTGGCCCGGGGCAGCTGTTCGCTCAGAGTCCGCTCAGACTGGATCCGCCGAGCTCCAGCTGCAGCGGCGACCCGTGGAAGCTCCTGCAGAGTGTGACGGTGGACTCCCAGCCCAAGCCTCCGGTCTTCTCCACGGTGAACCTGTCGGACCTGCAGGACGTCCCCCCGAGCAGCTTCATCCCGGCAGAGCCCCCGAGCGCCCCGCAGGACGCCTTCCCCAGCTGCTCCGATGTGGACAGCATCAACACCGAGGAGTTCCAGGCGCTGCTGGGCCAGAGCGGCTCCGCCTGGATGTCCTTCCCTCCCAGCCTCCTCCAGAGCGAGAGCGCGGCTGTCCTGGACGACCTGGAGGTGCTCAGCTCCATCGATGACGACCGCTTCATGTCCATCTTCTCCAGCACACACCAGACGGGCTTTCTGTCCGGACACCCCACCTAACACACCGTGTATTCCTGAGGACTTCCGACTGTAACGTCTCACACAGTGCCTTATTGAGCGGCTCAGCCAATCACTGCGTAGGATCCACAGCCTCGCCGACCAATGACTGTTGAGAACACCGAGCAGTTATGACCACTGTACAGTGAGCTTCTTAAAGTAAGAAGAGTTTATTAACACTTTTAAAGGAGCATCGCACCATTTTTAGCAAACCTGTGTTTTGAAGCCAGAAGTGAAAAACAATTACGTTTTCATTTTTGATCATTTAATTAGTCTTTTAAAGTGTCTGGAGGGATGAAACATTGACAATTTAATTATTCTTTTTAAAAAGTAAAGGCTTTATGCCGTTATTTGCTCGCCACCAATAATAAATTCGCATTAAATCATAAATCCAGAAGAATCAAGACAACAGAGATTTTCTGGAGAACGGAAAATAATAGATTTCATAGGGCACTATTGTGTAAATATGTTAATGCGTTATTAGACTGTTAAAATGTTATTACAAACATTTAAGTAAGCCATTAAAATGGACTCGGATAATTATAAAGGAAAACTAAATTTGGGACTGAGAAGAATAAATAACATTTTTGTTAAACTTATAATAAATTGTTGCTTATTAAATTTAAATGTCAAGGAATTAGACGTGCTTTTTAAGCACTACTTTATTATTACTAAAACTGAAATGGAATCCTGGAAAATTTTAAAAAGAAAATCATAAAATTGAAAGTAAATAAAACTGATTTCATAGGGCCAAAATGTCATTTCTGTTCAACTTTAATAAACTGTTATGATTTGAGTTAATTAGACGAGCTGTGTGGTTGAGGATTAGCCCTGAATCACGATGAGCACTAGCACGTTTCCTGAGGCTTCATTCACATGCTAGTCTTTTATTGTCTGCTGGGTTATTCTGGCGATCCGTTACACACATTATGCATGAGTAAATCTGACCATACCTGGCCGTTTGTGCCCAAACTAGCACTGACCGCTCCGCATTCACACCAGCTCGGAGGACTGAACGGCTCGTGAAGGACAGAGTAACCGAGTTCAGTCATCCTTCATCATGTTCGTTATGCAGCACAGTCGTTAGTCGCTCAGTTGTTTCTCTGTTTGTGGCCTTACTGCCGTTAAACCTCTTGTTTCGACTCCATTTGAGTGCTGTACAAATGAAATATATGCTTTTGTACTATTATTTGAGCTGTAATAAATGCATTTACATCTCACAATTCTGCCTTTTTCATAATTATGAGTTTATATCTTACAATTCTGCCTTTTTCTTGTAATTCCGAGTTTACGTCTTGCAATTGACTTTTCTCGTAACTTTTGAGCAATTCTTGCAATTCAAATTTTTTCCTCATAATTCTGAGTTATTCTGAGTTCTCACAATTCTGATTTCTATTCTATAATTTTGTTTACAATTGCAATTTTTTTTCTTGTAATTTGAAGTTTGCATCTCACAATTCTGACATTTCTTGTTTTTTCTGACTTTTTCTCAAAATCCCAGGAGAAAAACAAGTGCACTTCCACAATGTACTTAAAGTGCTCTATTTTCACGCTCTAGTTTTGTACTTAATATACTGAAAATTATGCTTTAGTAGTACTTAAGATTAACTTAAGATCATCTAAGTGTACTCAACTGTGCTATTTTGAGACATGAATATGAACTAAAATGTGTTTTAAACATACTATCTCTGTATTTAAAAATGTATTTAGTCACCACTTGTAGTATACTTGAGTGTACTAGTGTATGAAAGATGGTTCAAGTGTACTACAAGTGGTGAGATGTTATGTTAAAAGTGCATTTTAGTTGATATTCATGGTCATGGTCTCGAGCGCGACACATTGGAAAAGCTGCGAGGCGCAGTGGTCAAAGATTTCCATCTAGCGCATATTTACATAGAAAAGCTTTTAAAAAAGCAGCGGAGCTTTGTAAACCGCTCAGAGTAATCAAGCCTTCTCCATAAGAACGATATGATCGCCAGAACAAATTTACCGGGATTTTTGAAAAGGTCGTGTTCACACATGATCTCTTAACAGTAATTCACCAGTGAAGACTGTATGTGTGAAAGGGGCTAAACTCTTCCTCTGCATATGCTCTAAGTTTGGGT